TAGGAAGGTTGAGAACCACTGCTAGCATTGCTATGATTCAGAATCTATTCAATGGCAGTAGTTTATTGAATTGTTAGGGAGTAAGATAAGGTGACCAGATGTCCCGCTTTTGGCGGGACAGTCCCGATTTTTAACAATTTTTCCCGCATCCTGCAGCACTTTTTAAAAGTCCCGATTTTTGAAAATAATGTATGACAGGCTAGGGTATATGGTTTTCGGCTGCCATGTGGCTATTTCACCAGGATATGAGTTTTATCAATGGTGTCTCGCTTTATCAATGTTAAAATCTGGTCACCTTAGAAGAAGTCAAGGGGGGGGGGAAGTTTGGTAGCAAAAAGGGGGAAGACAGTAGTAGTGATAGAGAGCAAAAGTCTGTAGTCTGTCTTGGAAGTGAGAGTTTGACAGACATTGTTGATGGACCAGAAGAGGGTGGCTAAGAATCGGGGATGACTCCAGGATATTAGCTAAAGTCCATGGGTGGCCCTTAAGAAGAAACCTGACTGGTGGAGAGTTAAAACATCAGTGTTTTAGACCCTTGAAACTTGAGGCCTCTAAACAACTCAAGTTGAGCCCCCCAGGTAGTGGCCTTAAAGGGAAAGGTCAGGGATACACACGAAGAAAGGGGTGGGATCAGCATGCAAATATTTAAAGACTGGAGTGTGGAAGAAATTATGTAGGAACAAGAGCAAATATAGGAAACAAGTTACCTGTGAGGTTGGTAGAAAGGTTAGGGAAATGGTGTTACTGAAGTTGAAAGTACTGTGTGCCAAGAGAGATTAACTGCTGGAATGAAGGCAGAGAAGGTGACTGCCTGTAACAATAGGATCATTGGAAACTCCAAGGGGATTGAACCATTTTGGTGGGTGCTGGAGGGGGCAGCCTCTTTAAGGATTAAGATGGGAATAGAGGTGAGGAAAGAGGGATTCCACGAAGATTCAACTTTACCTTTTGCTAGAAAGGATGCAGAGAGACTTGGCAATAAGTCAGAGTCGTGGTCAATGTGAGTTAAGGAAATTGTTTTTTTCTGAAAATGGACAAGATTATAGCAGTTTGCTAATGAAAACACTAGAAGGGGAGAAGGCAATGCAGGGTGGTGATGGGGAGAATTTGAAAGAAACAAAGTCTTAGAAAAAGGGAGAAACGATAGATGGAGGGGCAGGGGAAGCTGGCCTTTGATAGGCATGTGTCCCCATCTTTGGAAAATGTGTTGCTGAGACGGGAGCTGCTATCTATTGGGAGACGTTTGGTAAAGACTTCTCCACACTTCTTTGCAGGTGATCTTGAATCAAGCTTCCCTGAGAAAACAAGTGATGAGGCAGGAACCCTCTCTAGCTCTTACCTGTCTTCCTGCCTGTTTACAATGTGTGTCCTTGGACTTCAGCACTCTGACTCGTGGATCAGGGCAGTAAGTCTTAGTCTACACTAGAAGGGCGATTGGCATTTATGGAAGATGAAGCTGGTTGCTCCCATAAAGACTTATAGTCTCACAAATCCTAAGGAGCACTCCTGTCCTATAAGGCTACTGTGTCAGAATTGAACTCGATGGCAGTAGGTGGTTTATTTTACCAAGGGAATTTGCCTGTACCTCAGAGTCTGAAAACTAACAGCTAAAAGGCAGGGCTCGGGTGGTGGAGGGTTCTAGGAGGCATATGGAAAAGAGCAACAGGGCCCTGCAGGACTTCAACTATTTCAAGATCGTTATGAGTGGGTTTCTGCTAGAAGGCTGTGGTTTGTGAGTCAAAGCCGGAAACTGACTCAGTTGGATAGGTTAGAGAGGTGAGCTGGTGGACTAAATGCATACCCCATAGCTCAGGCAAGAACAGTTGACCAAAACTAAAGCTGTGACAAAATGGTTACCGGAGTCTCACTTTGGGACACTTTGACACGACTGAGCCAATCCCAACTCGAAACAAATTCACCACAATCGCCACCACTTGCTGCATGTGAGCTTTATTTTTTTTTAAATTTTTAATCGTTTTATTAGGGGCTCATACAACTCTTATCACAAGCATACACACATCAATTGTGTAAAGCACATTTGTACATTCATTGCCCTCGTCATCCTCAAAACATTTCCTCTCCACTTAAGCCCCCAGCATTAAGTCCTCATTTTTCCCCTCCCTCCC